CCAGGAGCCCCTAGTAGCGTCCTTGCTCCTATAGTAGCGATGCCCTTGGCTTCTAGTAGCTTCTTGTTCCTAGTAGTAAGAATGCTACTAGTGGTGATGCCAGGAGCCCCTAGTAGCGTCCTTGCTCGTAGTAGGGATGCCCTTTGCTCCCAGTAGCTTCTTGTTCCTAGTAGTAAGAATGCTAGTAGTAGTGATGCCAGGAGCCCCTAGTAGCGTCCTTGCTCCTATAGTAGCGACGTCCTTTGCTCCTCGTAGCTTCTTTTTCCTAGTAGTAAGAATGCTCCTAGTAACTAGTAGTGATGCCGGGAGCCCCTAGTAGCGTCCTTGCTCGTAGTAGCGATGCCCTTTGCTCCTCGTAGCTGCTTGTTCCTAGTAGTAAGAATGCTACTAGTGGTGATGCAGCACTGCCAGGAGCCCCTAGTAGCGTTCTTGCTCCTAGTAGCGATGCCCTTTGCTCCTAGTAGCTTCTTGTTCCTAGTAGTAAGAATGCTCTAGTAGTGATGCCAGGAGCCCCTAGTAGCGTCCTTGCTCCAAAAGTAGCGATGCCCTTTGCTCCTCGTAGCTTCTTGTTCCTAGTAGTATGAATGCCGCTAGTAGTGACGCCAGGAGCCCCTGGTAGCGTCCTTGCTCGTAGTAGCGATGCCCTTTGCTCCTAGTAGCTTCTGGTTCCTAGTAGTGAGAATGCTACTAGTGGTGATGCCGCAATGCTCGGAGCCCCTAGTAGCGTCCTTGCTCGTAGTAGCGATGCCCTTTGCTCCTAGTAGCTTCTTGTTCTTAGTAGTCAGAGTGCTACTAGTGGTGATGCCGCAATGCCAGGAGCCCCTAGTAGCGTCCTTGCTCGTAGTAGGGATGCCCTTTCCTCCTAGTAGCTTCTCGTTCCTAGTCGTAAGAATGCTACTAGTGGTGATGCCGCAATGCCAGGAGCCCCTAGTAGCGTCCTTGCTGGTAGTAGCGACGCCCTTTGCTCCTAGTAGCTTCTTGTTCCTGGTAGTAAGAATGCTACTAGTGGTGATGCCGCAATGCCAGGAGCCCCT